GATCATGGACATCATCGGACTGTTTTTACAACCATTAAAAACATTGGTAGCTTTTGCGGAGTTAGTTTTCTCAATAATTTCTGAACAGATCAACGATACTTGTGAGTTTTGTACTTTTCCAGACAACCTAAAAATAAAAGTAATAACGTTGAATTCAGTAACGTAGGCAGAATATCTTCATTTTTATGGTTACGTTAAGTGAGAAAGTTTTGCAAAAAAAAAGTGTTGATTGGAGCCTGGGAACAACAATACCCAAAAAAATTCGCTCCCCTACCCTTAACGAGAGAGTAATGAATTAATGAATTATACTATTTAAGTTCACCGACAGTTTTCATTTAATAATTATTTAATTTTTATTCAAATTTCTTTTTAACGTTCAGCGTAGTTAAGGAGAGATCCAAAGAAAAATACAGCGTTTTGGCCGTTTCGTTTTCAAAAAATGCCATTTTATTTTGTGTGCATTTTGATTGGTTTATTTTTTAAAAAAAAAATCACGAAGCTCGTTGTTTTATATTGTTTGCAAATATTCGGTGAATTTAATACCTACGAGTTTGAAATTTTAGCTCAATACTATGTAGCAGAAGTTATATAAAAGCTGAAACGTTTCTGTATAGTAATTTATTCAAACGACTATAAAGAGATTATGGAAGTAAATTGCTATGAGTGAAAACTAATGTGAAAACTTCGACTTTAACGTTTTTACTGTTTACAGAAAGATAAAGTAAGATGTTTTTAGTCATTTATTGAATATTTTAATGTTGAAAACAAGAAGTCTTTTTACTTTCGAATAAAAGAGGCATTTTTGGAATGTAAATACTTAGCACATTTGTTTCGCTGTTTTTAAAACGCTGCCCCGTTACGTTTTATGTATTTTAGTGGTAGTTTTGTTTTGCTTGATGCTTTGGTTAAAAAAGGATTTATAAAAATAAAAATAATAGATTAAAAGCTTAAATTCTGCTAAAAATATATAACTGTCAAAAATAAGTGGATAATAAGTATAAGGAAATAAGTTTATAAGTTATAAATAAGTTAAAGGGATGTATAAGATAAATAAGTTATAAGGGAAACGCAAAAAAATTAAGGTTTAAAAATGTAAACTTTTTTGTTTTTAAGAAATGCAAATTGTTTGTTAAGAGTAGGGGGAGCAAGCTTTTTGGGGGGTGTTTGTGTTCTCAGGTTCCAATCGCCGGGAACAAAAATAGGCCAAAAGTTTATTAAAAGTAGCCAAAAAGTTTATCCTCATTTGGCATAAGCATGAGCAAACTAAATCTTTCGAGTTTGATCTTCACCACGTCCCTGGTAGTACCGCGCTCAACTCGTTTCTCCGCGCTTTTTCAACTCGTTTCTCCTTCGTCAAGGTTCGTGTTTCGGAGTTATAGAGTTGAGAGAGGGTTATAGACACAAATAAGTAGCCTTCTCGTCTGTAGTGGCCTTCTCGGCCTTGAGGAGATGAATTAAAATAAAAAAATTAAAAAAAAATTAAAAAAAAAAAATGTATTTTTTCACTTGATAATATACTTAGATACTTCTAATATTTTGAAAATTGTTATTTGACTTGGAATTTATTACTTTTTTATTTTTTAATTTTACTTCATTTTTTTGTATGTTGTACTTGTCTTTATTTTGCTTGCTTGTTTTTTATAAGGTTCTGACGACAAGATTTCGTGATCTTCTTTCAGATCCTAGCTTATGTTTACTTGTTAGCAATTTATATGTGCTTATCTATTATAGATTTATAATAAATCTGGACGTCATGCGGCGCAGACCGCCGCATGACGTCATGCCAGAAAACAAGAATGTCTTCAGCGTGGATCAAAATTCCGCGAGTGTCAAAGAATGCGAAAGTATAAAATAAAAGAATGAGTGGAAAAATGAGTGAAACAGAATGCGAATGAACGAATGAATTTTCCCTATAGCGTGGTAACAGTGTCCTTGGTAACTAGTGCTTATCCAAGAAGATAAAAACTTTTTGGGTCACTTATAATTTAGAAAAACAAGATAAAAAAGTTGAGCTGAAAAACATGTAAAGTTTAAGTTTGTTACTTTGTTAAACATTATTAGAGTAAAAGTTAAATTTACCTTTACTTTCCAGAGTAGTAGCATCAATTTCCAATGTCAGTTTTGTTGTTGCAATTGCTACGCTGTCAGAGTAGCAATTGCATTTTCACAGTCTCTGAAATAATTTTGCACAATCAAATATTCATTTGATTGTGAAAAATTATTATTTTGCACAATCAAATGAAATTTGATTGTGTAAAAGAATAACTTGATACACAAGCTCTTTCTCAGACAATGCTTGTGTATATTTAAAATGTTTATTATTAACAAATATAAGTATTTTAAATATGCACTGTCACACATATATGCTACTTATTAAAAGTTGTTTTCAAGAAAATTGTTATTTTCATTTTTATAAATCTATAAACTTTAAAATATGGTTTAAAAATTAAAATTTAATGTGGGCTACATGAGTCAGTAAATGATAACTACACTAGATTTATGAGATAGCATGAATGTGGGACATGTGTGGCTATGTTATTAAAACCACTTATGGCCACATGTTGCTGTCGTAATTACTAAGTAGTGTCGTAATCACCTAAGTATTATAAATACTGTAACCATACATTGCCTACATCTGCACAATCCCATAAATTGAATGTGGCCACAATCACCTATTGACATATATCATCTCTAAATGACTCTTAGTCATTCCTGTTTAATAATTTTATAAAAAGTTCTTTGAATAAAACTTAGTATCAATTTTTTCTTCATCATATCTTATGACATATCTTGAAATATATGTAAAGCCATTTTTAGATATAGATTTAAGCCAGATCCATATTTAAATAAATATGAAACATATTGAAAATAATGAATATGATTTAGTAAAAAATTCACATTTTTAACCTTCTCGGCCTTGAGGAGATGAATTAAAATAAAAAAATTAAAAAAAAATTAAAAAAAAAAAATGTATTTTTTCACTTGATAATATACTTAGATACTTCTAATATTTTGAAAATTGTTATTTGACTTGGAATTTATTACTTTTTTATTTTTTAATTTTACTTCATTTTTTTGTATGTTGTACTTGTCTTTATTTTGCTTGCTTGTTTTTTATAAGGTTCTGACGACAAGATTTCGTGATCTTCTTTCAGATCCTAGCTTATGTTTACTTGTTAGCAATTTATATGTGCTTATCTATTATAGATTTATAATAAATCTGGACGTCATGCGGCGCAGACCGCCGCATGACGTCATGCCAGAAAACAAGAATGTCTTCAGCGTGGATCAAAATTCCGCGAGTGTCAAAGAATGCGAAAGTATAAAATAAAAGAATGAGTGGAAAAATGAGTGAAACAGAATGCGAATGAACGAATGAATTTTCCCTATAGCGTGGTAACAGTGTCCTTGGTAACTAGTGCTTATCCAAGAAGATAAAAACTTTTTGGGTCACTTATAATTTAGAAAAACAAGATAAAAAAGTTGAGCTGAAAAACATGTAAAGTTTAAGTTTGTTACTTTGTTAAACATTATTAGAGTAAAAGTTAAATTTACCTTTACTTTCCAGAGTAGTAGCATCAATTTCCAATGTCAGTTTTGTTGTTGCAATTGCTACGCTGTCAGAGTAGCAATTGCATTTTCACAGTCTCTGAAATAATTTTGCACAATCAAATATTCATTTGATTGTGAAAAATTATTATTTTGCACAATCAAATGAAATTTGATTGTGTAAAAGAATAACTTGATACACAAGCTCTTTCTCAGACAATGCTTGTGTATATTTAAAATGTTTATTATTAACAAATATAAGTATTTTAAATATGCACTGTCACACATATATGCTACTTATTAAAAGTTGTTTTCAAGAAAATTGTTATTTTCATTTTTATAAATCTATAAACTTTAAAATATGGTTTAAAAATTAAAATTTAATGTGGGCTACATGAGTCAGTAAATGATAACTACACTAGATTTATGAGATAGCATGAATGTGGGACATGTGTGGCTATGTTATTAAAACCACTTATGGCCACATGTTGCTGTCGTAATTACTAAGTAGTGTCGTAATCACCTAAGTATTATAAATACTGTAACCATACATTGCCTACATCTGCACAATCCCATAAATTGAATGTGGCCACAATCACCTATTGACATATATCATCTCTAAATGACTCTTAGTCATTCCTGTTTAATAATTTTATAAAAAGTTCTTTGAATAAAACTTAGTATCAATTTTTTCTTCATCATATCTTATGACATATCTTGAAATATATGTAAAGCCATTTTTAGATATAGATTTAAGCCAGATCCATATTTAAATAAATATGAAACATATTGAAAATAATGAATATGATTTAGTAAAAAATTCACATTTTTAACAAACAAAAAAATTATTTTCACAAACATGTGTTTACAATATGTTGAAACTTGTGTATAAATTAAGAATATAGTAAATTAAGTATATTGTTTTTAGATGCTGTTTTACCCTGCAAATGAAGCTATTCCAAAGTCATCCTTTTGATCATATCAAAAGGATAACTTTGTATATATTGTTTGTAATTAATATTGTAAATAATGCAAATAGAAAAAGTGTCCATGCAAACAGCAATTTCAGCTCGAAGTTCTGATTGTTATATTTTAACATTTGGTACAACAGATTTCACAAAGAAAAATTTGAAAAACAAAAATTATTTTTTTCCAAGAAAGTAAATATGTACTGAAATAAGAAAGTAAATATGTAGTATATGTAGAAAGTAAAGTAATCTTCTATTTTCTAAGTTCTACCTTCACAAGAATTTTCTAAAAGTATAAGGCTGAACTTCAGTGTTATAAAGTTTTAATGCAATGAAACTGAAAGTTATTGTAAAATTATAAAAGTTTATCATTTACTGTGACATCCAAACTTGTTTTTCTTTATTTGTTAGAAAATTTTTTCAAACAAAGTTTTATTTAAAAATAAAAATATATGTTTTTTAAATATATCTTTTATTTATTAGCCTCCTCTAACTTCTCCTCGATGCTATTACAATCAAACTGACAAATTTGGCTTCATATATCAAACGTTTACCACTGATGGATATAAAACAAAAGTGATTTTAAAACAGACTGAACCTGTTAATGCTTCATTTCCATATCCTGCTCCATTCAAGAATCCATCATTGTTATTTGAAAAGCAGAGTATAAATCGACTTAGAGTGAAG